GTCCTGCACACAGGACCTGCTCACCCGATGAAGGTGTACTGAGGCGGGGCCTGCTTGGAGCGTCCCAGGATGCGGATGTCACAGATGGCTGCCTCGGTGGAGTCCCTCGGGATGAACTTGATGCAGAGGCGCCTCTTCCTGAAGGCCTGCTCCTCTGTGGGGGGGGGCAGGGTCACTTTAGGCCCAACTCTGATTGAATACTGGTCTTTTCCCTCAGACTACTGACAGACTGATTTGAGATCAGGACTTACGAGTGTCAACAGTCTCCTGGATGGGGATAAAGCCCACTGGTAGGGTATCTTTGATATCGATGAGCTTCATGTCCACTAGGACATTTCCTAAATGGCTCTAGAGGGAAAGAGACAGAGGAAATGTTAGAGGCAAATCCAGGTAAGGGCTGGAATTAGTCCTACAGCACATGTGTGTACAGTGTTTGGCTAGAGGGCCTCCTTACATTTTCTTTGGAGAAAACCCTGGTGAAGCACAGGTAGCGGGTGACCTTGGACTTAAAAAGCCCGTCTTTCCACAGGTCAGCATCCAGTCCGTCTGTTGTCGTGGAAATCTGGAGGGAGATATAAGGTTATGCTGTAAAGGATCCGTTTACCTTCAAATACGCTGCTTTAAATGTGGATATTTGTGTTATATGTCCATCAGAGGGGAGGAAGGCCATTCAAATACACCCAAAAAGCTTTGAGTTGCTTTCTCTTTAAACACCGACACACACAAAGTGAAGCAGTCCGGGCAGATTTAGTTCAGCTCTCTGGTTTTCATAGTCAGATCTGCTGGTGGGGGGGTCTGCACAGAGCTGAGGTTTCTGTTCAAAGGCTAAGCTGCTGTCTGGAAACAGGGCACAGGGAGAAGACAAGAGGCTGAGAGAAGGGCTTCATGCACTGGTGCTCATTAAGGTCTGCCTGGAAAAGCCCAAAACAGGCCGGAGACTCCCACAGAGTCACTCATCACGCTGACTGGTGTCTTCCTTCTTCCGTCCTGCAGAGCAACGCCTCGATGGATCCCTGAGAGGATCTGTGGGGATCTGATCCCTGTGGGGATCTCTGTGAATCCCTGAAGGGATCGAATCCCTCTGGGGATCCCTGTAAGGATCTGTGGGGATTTGAGGGGGATCTGTGGGGATCCCCACAGATATGTGTGTGTTCAGAAGCTTGAGGACCGATGCAGTAACTGACCAACCACTGACTGTATGTTTAACACTTGGAGAACATCTGCAAGTCAAGCATTGCTCTGAGCAGGTTTCATCTGAACATTTTAATGGAGCCCCACCACGTCGTAGCCGGTGGGAGCCCTGTTCCTGGAGGCCACCACTCCCACCCCAGTGATCGGGTCCATGGACATCTCTGGCAGAGCTTCAGAAAGGTCCCGCACCTCAGGCATCTTTGTAGTTCTGGAAACAAACACATGAATAATATAGGGTACATAATAGATCCATCTCCATGAATCCACTGGTTATGTGGGCCCATTCTCTGTACATCTGTAATGACTACACAGAAACAGGCTCCTTATTCCTTCTGACTGAGAAGGTGGGAAAATAGAAATGCTGCTGATGGACAGTAAAGGGAGGTTGGAGTCAGCTCACAACTGTCAAACGCTGCCCAACATCAAGCTAACTGTGCTAACACACACAAGCTATGCCTGCTAAAAATAAACTGCAAACGCAACTAAATTAACTGGACCTCTCGTGTCTCCGAGAAAAAATAAAACCGGATTTATCAGGGTCATCTTTACATGAAGCATTACTGCCTTAATTTCGTGGGTTTTTTTTAAAGACCAACCACAACTGTCCATTTGCAAAACGCCTCGGTTAGCTAACACCACGTTAGCTTTGCTTTGCTAACGTTAGCTTTGCTTTCCCGTTAGCGGAGCTAACAGAACAGCTCGCTAACATCCGGGCGAGGGGAGGCAGCAGAGGAGCTACGACCCCAAACATTGCAGCCAGATTTTACCACGGATATTCCCAACCCATAACACAGATTCCGACGAAACAAGGGTTTATTAATCTGTCTTGATTGTGCCTAACGGTTTCACCGAGCCGTTAGCAGCTAATGCTAGCATGTGTGCGGCTCACCCTGCGAGGCTCCGTCCGTTAACTTCTGAGTTCTCTTCTCTCACGTTGTCACGGCTTTGGGTGACATGGACCTTTACAGTTGTTCCATAATTAGCTGAGTTATCCAAGACGGCATTTATCCGGTAGTTTCAGCATAGTTTGTCCGGCTAACGGTAACGAGGGGGCGCCATCAAGGGAGTCCGCGGAGATTAATGGGAAGTGATCGGAGCTCCGTAGATGGAGGAGCCCCTCCCTTCTCCCCCGTCCCCCCACTTCCTCCCCATTCCTCCGCCTCCCTCCCCTTCCTCCCCCTTTCTCTTCCTTCCCCTCCCACTCCTTCCTCCTCCTTTCACCCCATCCCTCCTCTTCCTCCCTTTCCCCCCTCTTCCTCCCATTTCCTCCTCCTTCCTCCTCCTTCCTCCCCCTCCCTCATCTTCCTCCCCCTTCTTCCCCTTTCCTCCA